AGTTATTTTTTTAGGTTGTTGTACATGCTAGCTAATTGTCCCTTTATTCCTAGGTAATTAATACTTTTCTATTGATGTGAAATTTTATGTTGCCATATATTAATTATATAGTTTTATATGTGCATAGACATGTCTGTTGATTCCTGTTCATTCGTTTATCTTCTTGTACACATACTGTATAATTCCATACACACTGTTATAATGACTATACCTTTGTATCAGCATGACAAATGTGGTCTGCAAGTCACATCTCCCCCCCACCCCCCAGCTAGTACTACAATTAAAGTTTACTGGAAAGCAGCTACCCTCATTTATTTGTATATCGTATATCGTATATTGTATATGACTGCTCCTGAACTACAGTGACTGAGTAGTAGAACAGAGACTAAAAAGACCCAGAAAACCTAAAATATTTACCCTGGCTTGCCAACCTATGCTTTATGCTGTGTATCTGGTAAAGTAAATTCTTCCTCATTCTTCTTTTTCAGCATTTTCATGGCAAGTATGTCCAGCATGTTTGTCCTGTGTTAATTTCAGACTCCTCTGCTGAACTTGCCTAACTCTCTTCCTTTACTTCTTTTTTGAGTTTGCAAAGAACCACAGAGTAGGCAGAATAGGAGGAAACTGCATTTAATTTGTAGCTTAGTGAGGGAAAAGTGCTTGCTGTATAATGGCTTTAAGTTTACTTCTTTCACTAAGCTTTTAGTGTTTCTTTGTTTATTATATATATATATATATATATATATATATATAAATGTATGCATATATATCTACTTTATTGTTATTTTGAGATCTCCTCCTGGCCATATTTTTCAAGTAATTTTATAGTTTAATAGCTTTTACTCTTTATGTATTTAGTTTTTTGTACTCTTTATGTATTTAGTTTCTGACCCTCATGTGGGAATCAGTTGTTAGGACTGCTGATTTTTAAATTTGATTCTTTTGCTTGAATAGTCATTGTTTGAACTTAGCCATGACATTTCATTCCTAACCTTTACATGACTACCTGTATTTATGGGGTTCTATAGCTATATAGTTTAGGGAAATTGACTCTGATTTCAGTGGTGTTCATTATTTTTGTTTGATAATATGTGGGTCACAGCACATAATCCTAATAATCGAGACAATTTTTATACCCAGCTAGCATTTGTTGAAGGTTTTAAGAATACCAAGAAGATGATTTAGGCAAGCAAGCTATCAAGCAGGCTTTGCTATTTTTTAGAGCTAATGGTTGATTTTAGTGTGGAATATACAGGAGTGTGTCTGTCACACAGTGCAGCCATCACTTTTACTGTGGAAAGCCATTTGATGATGGAGTACAGTTGACTTAACCTCATATTTATCCTTTAGAATTGAAATATGAACAGGAAGAGATTTTGATGATTTTGATTTGCTTCCCTAAATGCATTGTCTGTAAAGCATTTGCTCTTTACCCCTAATGTCTAGGCCTTAAGGAAGTAAAATCTATTTTAGATGTCAAGATCTGTTACTTGCCCTGAGTATTGAACCACAAATCCAATGTGTTAATGTTTGTGGATTTATCTTATTCCATTTTTGTTCCCCTTCCCCTAGTTTGTATTGTCTTAATTGCTTATGTTAATAAAATTAAAGAAAAATAGTTCATGTTACCAGTTTCATATCTTTTTTTCTTGAGTAAAGTGATAATGGTGCTAGTCTTAATAGGGTTTAGATTTGGAGATGGACAATTGCTGCCATACACTGTATGATTTATTGAAATAAAATCTTTGTGCAGCATTCAGTGAAGTGAAACTTTATGGCTAGAACCTAGTAAAATCTTGCGGCATTTTTTTCACTGTGTTGAGATTACCTGCGGTCATTATAAATGTCAGATGGTGAATATAAATACAACAGTGCCCTCGGCTGTAGAAATGAATCAGGGCACATGCTGAGTCATAGAATGAATCCTGTTAGGGTCTTTGAGGTGGGGTCTGAGTTGGACACATGGAAAGTAATTTTTTTGGGGGGTCTGGTCATGGGGCCTGAACTCTGGGCCTGGGCGCTGTCCCTCAGCTCTTCAGCTTAAGGCTAGCGCTCTACCACTTGAGCCACAGCGCCACTTCTGGCTTTTTTCTTTTTTGCTTATGTGGTGCTGAGGAATCGAACCCAGGGCCTCAGGCATGCAAGGCAAGTGCTCTACCACTGAGCCACCTTCCCAGCCCAGTAGGTATTGTTTTTGATGACAAGAATGCAGAAGAAATATAGTAGTAATTGATAGCTTAATGGTAATCGTGGTAGATACCTGATGGCTTATTTTTATCCTTACAACAGCATTAGGAAGGATAATTCCCAGTTCTCATACAGATGAGGAAATTAAGATTTAGGTCAAATAACAGGTAGACTTAATATTTGAACAGCTGTTAGATTCCAAAATCAGGTTGCAAAATAAAGTAGTGTTTTGGCAGGAAGAGTAAGTGCTTCATTGTGCATGCTTGGAGTTGGAAGTAAGGTTATGTTGAATGATGTGGTAAAAGATGTTTGGAAGTGTGGAAAGGGTCTAGCTCTGAAAAGTCTTGGAATTCCAGACGAAGGACAACTGGTTTCTTATCATTTCTACTTCTTCCATATTCCTATACAAGAAGGAGAAACATTTAATGACCTCAATTCGCTTGGATTGTCTTTTGTGAACTCTTGACAATTCAAAGAATGGGGGAGCGGGGTACTGGGAGGTTGGCTCAGTGGTAGAGTGCTTGTCTTGCATGTATGAGGCCCTGGGTTCGATTCCTCAGCACCACATAAGCAGAATAAAAAAGACCGGAAGTGGTGCTGTGGCTCAAGTGGTAGAGTGCTAGCCTTGAGCTCAAGAGCTGAGGGACAGCACCCAGGCCCAGAGTTCAGGCCCCACGACCGACCAAAAATAGAAGAAGAAAAAAAAAAGAATGGTGGGGAGGTGAATTGACAAGCATTGTGTGAGGACCAGAAGGGCCTCATTTTTTATCACCTCTCTCCCTGCCTTCCTGTGTGGCCTCCTTGAAAAGAGACTCTGTGGCCTCCAGTTTCCTGTTTAGGTTATTTTGGAGGGAGCCCAAGGGCTTAATTTACATTTCAAGACGATAATAGAATGTATTATTGGTCTTTCTGATTTTTGTTTGTTTTTGTTGTTGTTATGAGAGTCAGGGTCTTGCTAGTTGCCCAGGTTGGCTTAAATTTGACATTCTTCTTCTGCCTCAGGCTCTGAGTGCTGGGATTTCAAACATAAACCATCATTCCTGGCACCATTCTTCCCTACCTTTCTAACCTGTTTTAAAATTGAGAGAGCCAGAGAGGTATGGTTTGGAGAGGGGCTGTGGGAGTTGGCTTTTTCAGTTCAAGAGGATCAGGACAAGGTTAGCACTTGCAGCTTTAAAGACCCTTTCATTTGTTTTTCTTAAATGGAAACTTGAGTAAGTATATACACAGATTTGCAAAAGTTGCACACTCCAAATGCTATTCTGATCCCTTCCTGTGTAATTGTACTAATTAAGATGGAAGATGTAGATTCTGTGCAACCTTATTCACATGCCAGATAGTTCACATGTGTCTATATTTGAGACCTGTTTCAAGCCTGAGGTCTTGTGCTGGCTGGCTCTTAGTCACAAGTGCTGTTTTTTGGGAGCATTCTAGGTGGCTGTGACTGGTCAGAGCAGTGCTCATGTAGTATACAAGTCCAGTCTGCTGCTCCTGCAGCTGCACATGAACGTCAGGGGCTCTGCTGTCGCTCAGAACTCTGTCCTGCTGTCTTGCCAAGAACTAGATTCTTAGCAAGATCTAAAAGAGAAAGTAAACTTTTCTAAGTAGTGGCAGGCAAGATATTTTGCTTACTAGATTCAGAGGGGCAGCTTGGAGATTCTAGCTCCAGCACAGACAACTTACATGGTAGCATCTGATCTTTGGGTCTGTCATTTGCATTTAGAGTGTGTATATGTTTCCCAACTATTCCAGGAAAAGGGGCTTCGTTTCTTCCTTCCGACTAAAATGGCATCTCTTGGGGACTTACAGGATCTTTTAAAAGATTTCTTTCATAGTAGTGTTTATGATAGAAAAGAAAAGGACCTAATATAATTTTGTATATTTTATGTGAAAGCACTTCTAATGATGGATTTTCAAATTTGAAATTATTCATCGATTTTCAACTCATTTCGTAGCCTAATATGTATGTGTAGGCATGTTTTATAGAAACATTTGAAACAAGAAGTGCTGAAGCCTATCAGCTTATTATTGTTTAATTGTGCAGGATTCTAGGATGGAGCAATTTCACTTGTCTTTTTTGGTTGCGTATGATTTAGTATTTGATTCTGAAATGTTTATAGAGATGATAGGAAGTACAGTCCTTGATCTGGGCCTGGTTCCCCAGGAGTGTGGCACAGGCCTTGCTTCTGTGGCACACTTCACCACTGCAGGGCCTGTGGGCCCTGGAGCTCCAGGATAGCTCTGTGGTTTTTCTGTCATTGTAGGAGAGCAGGAGGGGTAAAGAATCCAGATTTACTCTGCTGTGTAATCAATCACAAAATAAATGTAAACAACTATATCTTAAGAAATGCTGACTGTTGCAATACATTTCTATTATTTTCTTGCCAGGAGCTAAAATTCTAGGAAACGGCAGTGGAAAGTGAACACGTTTTATTTGAGATATGATCTGAGTTATTTGTGTGACTTGTTTAATTTGCTGGTATTTTTTACATCTTGCTGTTAAGTTCGAGTTTATTGTGAGTAGGATTTTACAGCTACCACAGGCCTTTCCTTTTATCTTAAATCATGTAAAAATTTGGTTGGGAACATTTGACACTACTAACATTTGGTTGGAAATTTGACTTTTTTGTCATATTTTATTTCTAGGAGATAGCTTAGTAATTGTATGGTTGGGTTTTTAAAATATGTAAGTATCAAATTAATCGATATGTCAAAAAACATTTATCTTCGCTTTTAAGGGTTTATAAAATATTTTTTAGTGGTCTTTGCAGTTTGGAAAGTAACATTGACTTTTCTCCTTTTTTCTTTTGAAGACTTTCAGCTGAACTCTCATCTCTCAACGCTGGCAAATATTCATAAGATCTACCATACTCTTAACAAGCTAGTAAGTCAGTCTTTTAAACATAAATCCACCACCTGCTTAGTCATTTCGTACAAGTGTATTCAATTTTTAAAAAATGGAATTATAGATGAGGTAGCAATTGCTTATGAAATTCTGAATCTTAAAACTTGCTATATGGCATGTGATTTCTTGGTTAATAATGTGCATATATTTCTTACAGAATCTAACAGAAGACGTTGGCCAAGACGATCACCAAACAGGTATCTATAAAAGCTAACATTAATTTTTTTTCAAAATATACTAACATAAAACTAGGAAAGCTCTGTGTTATCATATATGCACTCCATTAGCAAGTTGCTACTTGATTGAGGATGTCATTCAGGTAAAGCAAAGACAGCTATGTTACATGTTATTCTCTAGTCCTGTGTGTCTCCAAGTTTAGGGTGCATTATAACATCCTGAAGGGCTTGTTTTAAAGATTGCTGGGCCCCACCCACAGAGCTTCTACAGAGATTTAGGGTAGGGCCTCAGAGTTTGCATTTTTCATAAGCTCCCAGATGATGTTGATGCTGCTGATCTGAGACCTTTTTTATTTCCTTTTCTCTTTTTCTTTTTGTTTGTACTGAGGTTTGAAATTAGTCTCATGCTTGCTTGCCTTACTTGCTTAGCTGATACACCACCATTGGCTTTTTGTTGGTTATTTTGAAGATGGAGTTTCAAGGTCTTTTTTGCCCAGGCCGGCCTGGAATCTTGATCCTCCAGATCTCAGCCTCTTGCATAACTAGAATAACAGGCATAAGCTACTAGCACCTAGCAGGAGACCACAGTTTGAGAATCATTTCTCTAAAATGTTATATGCTTATAAAGTTCAGACATTTGCATCTGATTGATATTTACTAAACTTCTAGCAAAGAACGATTACAATACCTTTTAAAATTTGAAAATTGCCACAGTAATATATGAATCCATGCTTATCTCAGTCTGTTTGGGCTGCTGTAACAAAAAATCTTAGCCTGAATAACTTACTGACAACAAAAATCTATGACTCATATCTCTGGAGGCTAAGAAGTCCAAGATAAAAGCACCAGCAGTTCCAAGCTTAAAGTATCAGCAGGTTCAGTGCCTGGATAGGGCCTGTTTCTCCTTGCTCCTCACACAGGGGTAAGGAGGGTTGAGGTGGACATTGCTTTAGGATTATTTTGTCAGAGTACTCATCTCAGTCACAAGGGCTCCACCCACCTGGTCTTACCACTCCTAAAGCCACCACCTCTTTATTTCAGTACTTTGGGGATTTGATTTCAACATAGGAATTTTGGGAGGTACACAGACATTGAGGCCATAGCAACCTCTATTGGAGAATTTTGAATAGCATGAAAGTAAGTGAAAGGTGATGTCTCCTAACTCCACTGCTTATAACTAGTTGATTATTTCAGATATTTTTATGCATATGTATGTATTTGTGTGTGCTTTTTTAAAAATTTAGAATCCATGATATATTATGCCATATATTTTTTAGTGTGTGTGCAGGTCCTGAAGCTTGAACTCAGAGGTGGGTACTATTTGTGCTTTTTTGCTTGAGGCTGGTGCTTCTTGGTGGTTCATTGGAAATAAGAGTTCTGCCCAGGCTGGCTTCCAACTGTGATCCTCAGATCTGAGCCTCAGCTAGGATTATAGGCTAGAACCACTGACACCTGGCTCTTTCTTCATAAAATGGCATATTTTGGAAATTGGTTCACAATCTATTGAAAACTAATATTAAGATGAAGATTAAAGTAACAGGTTTTTTTTTTTGTTGTTGTTGGGTTTTTTTTTTGGAAAACAGATTCGCTGTGCAGCAAGAATGCACATGTTTTTTAGAGTCTCACCTGAATCACTGCCACAGCTAGGCAAGTGCAGGTGGGTTGTCCCCTTAGCCTTGCTACAGACTTGAAAGGAAAGGGTTCAGACCTTTTCTGCCTGTTGCTTGGCCTGGCAGGCAGGTCTGAAACAGAACTCCAAGGAGCTGGACTCTCTGTTCACAGTTTCTACTCTTTGGGTCACCAATCAGAGCACCCTCCTTCCAGGCGAGTAGGGAAAGGGAGTGAGGCAGGCAAAAGGGAGTGTTCTAGAAGGTCAGGGATGTGAAGGGTTTTTTTTTTTTAATAGTAACACATTTATGAAGAATCTCTCTAATAGTTACATACATTTTTTCCTTTTAAATATATATATTTTTGTGGTATTAGGGTTTGAACTCAGGGCTTTGCACTTGCTAATAAGCAGGAACTCTACTGCTTAAGCCATACTCACAGCACTTTTTGTTCTAGATATCTTAAGGTCTTGTTTTTTGCCCAGGCTGGTTTGGATTGCAAACCTGGGATGTACCTGGGATGCCAGCTGTTCGCCACTGCCCAGCATTTTCTGTTGAGATAGAATCTCACAACTTTTTTCTTTTTTGACCATGGGCCAGCCTGGAGCTGTGATGATCCCTGTCTCAGACTCTCACATTGTTGGGAGTCCCATATAGTGGCACAGTGGCAGCTGTGGTTGAAATGAGTTCTCATGAACTTTTTTGCCCAACTGGCTATCCTTCCTGTCTACCTTCTGAGTTAGCTAGGATTATAGGTATGAACCACTGACTTGTGCTGGCTGCATAAATTTCTAGTGCATGCATTTATCAAAATATGTTTCTCTAGCCTCCTTATGTTTCATATTTGTATGTTTAACTTTTAACTATTTTCAGTGATACTGGAATCAAATGTTCAGGGCCAGTTTTAATAGTTAAAGAGAAAACACATTTGTCTTTGTGAAACAATATGTTAGGTGTTGTCCATTCCCTATTTGGTTTTAGCATTGCTTCATGATTCCTGTACTCAACAGAATATACTTGAACAACGAAACTGTAAAATCAGTAATGTTTAAATATCTGAACAAGCATAATTAGCCAAGGTGCTTCTTTGACTGTCTTGTCCAGTAGTCTGTCTCTCTGCTGTTCTGTAACTGTGCATGTGAAAGAACCAAGTCTATACAGAAGACTGGGTGTCCTTCTCTATCTTTAAAACTTCTCTTTGGAACTTGGAGACAGGAGAGTGGGGTATAGGAGAGGAAAAGAACAAGTGGAAGGGCCGAAAGAAGGGAAAGAGACTGACTAAGAGAATGAATAACTTCAGTTAAAAAAATAGTACAAATAGGATGATTTTTTTTTTAAGGCCAAAACAGAAAGGACAAAAAAAAAGTAAACAATGACAGGTATGAGAAGGCAGTTATTTAGAGATGAAGAAGGGAAGGCAATTTTGTCTTAAATAGTAGGATTTAAGGGAAAAACAAAAACAAAAAACTCTTTGCATTTAAAAAATAATAGTTTCCCATAAGCAAGCAAGTAGTTAATGAAATGAACTGCTTTTTATTTTTGCTTTATTGTGTTGGTCCTGGGGCTTGAACTCAGGATCTAGATGCAATCCCTGAGTGTTTTTCTTAAGGCTAATGCTGTACCACAGTCTACCTCTGGCCCTTTCTATAGTTAAATGTAGAGAAGAGTGTCATGGACTTTCTTGCCAAGGCTGGCTTTGGCGTGTGATCCTTAAATCTCGGCCTCCTGAGTAGCTAAGATTACAGGCATGAGTCATGGCCTTTTTGGTAACGAGGAACTTTTACTCTTGTTTTGGGTTCAAGGGAGATTGTGCCTGGAAAAGTTGTGGTCCTTGGAAACTTACTTCTTAGGATTGAATTTAACCTATCCTTTCTATGAGGTGACAGGATCCTTCCATTCTTAGCTCCTAGGCAGCTGGGACTACAGATGTGAGCCACTGGCTAGACATGATTTCTTTGTAAAAAATGACTATAGTCATTCATGTTAAGGTTTAGGGAAGAAAGATCTAAAAGACCCTGCCACATAAGTTAGTGGTTAAAAGTTTTGAATAAACTAAAGGATAAACTGGGCTGATAAGCTTACAAATATGACTAAGTTTTCATAGACACAAGAGAATTTTACTGGTAAAATTTTAACAGAAAGCATTTATCAATAAGAAAAGAAAAACAAGAGAAAGCTGAGAAAGTTGGTTATTTTTGATATTTTAGTGTTTACCAAAAGCACTCTGCTGTTGACAAGTGGGATTTAGTGAAAGGCAGTCATATACCAGTGTCTATGAAAAAGCAGATGGTAGTGGAGCTGCCATCTGAATTAACTTTCTATTAGAGAAGACATTATTTTAAAGTGTTCATTTCCATGGGCTAAGGTAGTGAGTGTGTTTTGTGATCTCTAAATACTTGGGGAAGGGCCAGGTGCTTAGAACCAAACATGGTGTTAGAAGATGTCTTTTCTTCACATGTACATATAAGGAGGAAGAACAGCTCCAGATGGAGGGTACGCACTCATTTCATGTCATTTCACATGCTTTACTACTAGGTGAGGTTCACCTCTTTATTCTGCAACCTGTCCCTGAGTCATTAAGTGACAAAGATAAATCTTGTCTGTTGAAAGTCTTGGGAGCTTTTTAGTGTGCTTTAGTGTTGTGTGCAAGCAGGTTTCACAGGGAAGATGAATGAGGTATGTGGGTTGTGAACAGTACTCTGGCTCTTCCTTTTCCCATTCTTGTTCTCACTGAGGTTAGAAGATATTGTAGTATGTGTGTGTCTACAGGTCCCAATCTTCCCACCCTTGGAAGGAAAGTCTGGTTGGGTCCTCAGGCAAGGTAGCTGGTGGTCCTCTTGTTAGGCTTGGTGGAGATCTGCTTCTGGGATGAGGGAGTTGTCTAAGACAAGCTATGGTCAGGAGCCCATATGGGTAGTTTCCCAGTTTATAAGAGGTGCTGCTGTTGCCTGGTATGCTCCCTAAAGTATATTGTCCAGGGAATTTAGCACAATAGCAGAAGTCTAAATGGAAATCTTAAGATGCAGTTTCTAGTTCTATTTATTGCACTTAGCAGGGTTGGGACTTTTGCCTTGCCTTGCATATGTCCTGCAAGAGCTGCCTACATCGCTGATTTCACCTGGCAAGGTGAAATTCACCTTACATTCACCCAGTCTGCTTCAGGCTGGCCTCTGACCCCTACCTAGCTATACTGTCCTTCACTGCTCAGCGCCTTTACCTGATGGGCCTCTGTGTGGCAGTGGATCACTGTCTTTTCCAAACTCTCTCCACCTTTGTCTTCTAGGCTATCATAAAGGATAGGAGAGCCTGGGTTTCCTTGCTGTCCAGCCCCTGGGGTATCCACACACCCATTTCTCTGCTTCTCTCAATGGGTTTTCATCACCTATAGAGGTAGCAGCAGCTAGTGGCTGAGAACTGGCTTGACTGCTGGACCACCTGAGTTCCCTTCATGAACCTGGTCATCATATACTTGGCACCGTTTAAGCATTTACTGAATGAATATTTTTCTTCATGAAAATCCTGAGAGAGACACTGTTCCCATTCTTTAAGCAATGAGTAAGCAAGAGGCCTGGACTAGATTAGTGATTGCCCAGACTACAGAGTTACCTTAAGAGTTGGAGCCTATTCATTGAATGAAGGTCACCAAATCTCAGTAGGTCTCCTGTCCACACAACTCACTAAGGGTCCAGGACCTTTAACCAAGGACTAAAGGAAGAAGGAGTGGTATGTGTCCCAGATTTCACCACTTCTCATCTCAGAGACCCAGAGACCTTGGCAAGTTACCCAAATGCTGAGCCTTAGTTTTTCCCATCTTTTCCATAGAGATAATTGTTTTGCCTGGCCTGTCATTCGGGGTTATTGTGGGAACTAAATGACACACCTGATGGCATACATGCCAAAATGGGAAATATAATTATCTTATAATTACCTTGTAATTTATAATAGTTTAAGACAGTCTGAAGCAAGACTGCTGGTCTTTTGAATCCCAGTTTTGTCCCAGGCCTTACCTCACCTTTTACTACCCCTGCAGTTTAAGCTACATGAGGAAACTACACACTTCCCACATAGCCTTCCTTTTAGGAGCCTCACAGTTAGTACATGCAAGGCTGAGGACCCCGGCTCCTGCTAAGCTCTCAGTACATTTTCAGTGTTGTTACCTTCTGCTGTGAAATTCTAGCATTCTTTTGCTAAATGAGAGTTTGGCTTCCTGATTAAACGCTGGGTGAAAGTGGTAGAGTTTTCCTCAAGTGGCAGAAACAAGAAAAGTTACTGTGGAAATTTTGTTTCAAGTCATGTCAAACTTTTCGGTCAAATGCAAATCCTGTTTAGGATATCCCTTGAGGTGTGAGTGTGGAGGCTTGTTGGGTTTCAGAGTCCAATTACTGCTTGAGCTGGCTTTGTCTCATAATAAAGTGCATAGATTATAAGAGCAGGATGATTTCTCTTGACGAGACTTTGACGTATAAGAGAAGCAGAAAGTTTAGGTGAATTTAGGTGGTTTTCTTCAGTATGTTTGGAGAGTGAATTGAAATTGATCACTTCTATTTCTGCTTGATTTGGTGTGGTAGGAAGTAGTCACTTGTTCATGTTATCGCTAGATTTTTGACTGACACTTTTTTCAGAGAGGAACTGAAACTCATTATCCCTCCGAATAGCGTTTACTGATAACATCTAAGCCCCTTACAATTCGTGCTTGGAAGAGTTACTAGGTTGGACTTAACTTTGTACTTCTTTGAATTTGTTCTGTAGGAAGCCTGCGATCTTGCAGTTCTTCAGACTGCTTTAGTAAAGTGATGCCACCAAGGAAAAAGAGAAGACCTGCCTCTGGAGATGACTTATCTGCCAAGAAAAGCAGACATGATAGGTACAGTACCAAGACACTGTATGATAGGCATGTGGAAGGATTTGCATGTCTGCCATGGTCTTAGCATGCAGTTGGCAGCTAGAATACTTTCTTGGTTCAGTGGGTATTTGTAATTATTTAATAATTATTTGTAATTATTTAATAATACTTTGTGTTTGGGCTTAGAAGACAAAAACGAAATAGACAGTTTCAGTCCTTAGAATAAGGTTTTGAGCTGGGTTTGGTGGTTCATTGTAGTTTGAAACCAGAAAGGCAGAAAAGCCTGTGAGATATTTCTCCAGTTAACCAGCAAAGTGTCAGGCCATAAGTGTGTCTCAAGTAGTAGAGCTTCAGCTAATCAAGCAAACTGAGTAAGAGTGGGAAACACCTGAGTTCAAGCCCTAATACCAGAAAAAAAATTAAAATCTTAATCCATTAATCCTCTTAATAACTGGTTAGTGTTAGTTTATTTCTTTGAAGCCTTTCTGTCTATGCCTGGTGAGGAGGACAAAACTGATTGCTGTTCTTTCAGAGGGTCTCACCCATTAACTGTTGCCATTGGGCTGAGTAGCCCACTTCTCCTAGGAGCTTTATACACCTGGAGCAGCCAGGTAAAAACTGTGAAAGACAATACTGTTTAAAACACTTCTCTTTCTGACAATGGTTAATTTAGGTAATTTCAGAGACTTGTTAAATGTTTATTTGGGGCATATTTAGTTTTTCAATCTGATTTTTAGTAATTTTTCCTTTTTTTTTTTTTTTTCTTTTTGGGTACAGTCGTGGTCCCTGAACTCTTGGCCTGGGCGTTGTCCCTCAGCTCAAGGCTAGCGCTCTACCACTTGAGCCACAGCGCCACTTCTGGCTTTTTTCTTTTTGCTTGTGTGGTGCTGAGGAATCGAACCCAGGGCCTCAGGCATGCAAGGCAAGCGCTCTACCACTGAGCCACCTTCCCAGTTCCTCCTGTTGTATTTTTTAAGCAATAAATTAATCACAATCTAATCTTTCTGCCTCTTTTCAATTTTCCCAATTCTAGTTCTGTAGGTTATTAATGACCTGGAATTTCCATATCTCTAAATCAAAGCGATTTCATTCTGTGGTACTTCATTTGCCACAACTCAGTTGGAAAAGTAGAGTGATAAACTCTGAAATATGTAAATAATGTCACTTTTCATATCTCAGAGTAGAAAACATTACCTAAAGAAAACAGTAGTTTTGAAGATCTTGGGGCAGAAATACTCAGTTTCACAAAGCCAGGTTACTTGATTTCCTTACTGGTGAGAACTATCATCAAGGAATTGTTAAATTCTAATAGTCACTTAGCATTTTGTATATAGAACTTAATTTGTATCACAGCCTAATATTTAGTATAATAAAGCCAGATTTAAAATAAACAGTTGGGCCGGGCGCTGGTGGCTCACGCCTGTAATCCTAGCTACTCAGGAGGCTGAGATCTGAGGATCGCGGTTCAAAGCCAGCCCGGGCAGGAGAGACCGTGAGACTCCTATCTCTAATAAACCACCAGAAAACCGGAAGTGGCGCTGTAGCTCAAGTGGTAGAGCGCTCGCCTTGAGCTGAAGAGCTGAAGGACGCGCTAGCTCCCAGGCCCAGAGTTCAAGTCCCATGACCGACCAAAAATAAATAAATAAATAATAAAATAAACAGTTGGGGGGCTGGGAAGGTGGCTCAGTGGTAGAGCTCTTGCCTTCAGCACCACATAAGCAAAAAGAAAAAAAGCCGGAAGTGGCGCTGTGGCTCAAGTGGTAGAGTGCTAGCCTTGAGCTGAAGAGCTGAGGGACAGCGTCCTGGTCCAGAGTTCAGGCCCCACGACCTGACCCTCCCCAAAAAATAAATAAAAATAAAATAAAATTAACAGTTGGGTTGCAGTTGCTAAGTTTATTCTTAGTAATTTTTAAAATACAGCTTTACATATCGTAAGGTTGATTTTTAATTTTTTTATTTTGGTCTGTGCAAATTGTCTTGTAAATTAGTCATTAGAACATGTCCATCATCCCACACACACCTCTGATGCCCAAAGATCTTTCTCCATCTCTACTCCCGGTCCTAGGCAACCACTAATCTACTTCTTTATAGACATTTTATGTAAATAGTCTTTTGTGTCTCTCTCTGAACTTAGTGTGTTTCTCAGGCTTATCTATGTAAGGGCCTGTATCAGTATTTCATTTCTCTTATTTGCTGAAGGTATTTCACTGTGCAGTATTGGACCATTTCTATGTAGAGTGTTTTTAGGTATTTCAAGTATTATAATGTCATATAAAGAATTCAGGTTATTCACTAATTAAAGGCTTTGAACTAATATAGGACTATCTGACTCAGGGTTAAAGCTTACCTGTTTGATCCTGAGGCAATATCCATATCCACTCTTATTTTTAGGAACATGTCTGCCTTTTATAGAAGAAATACAAAACTTTGTGTTTTTCAGTTTCAATAACAACACTCCCCTCTAAGTATGGGTGTGTGTGTGTGTGTGTCGGTGTCGGTGTCTGTGTCTATATCTGTATGTGAGTGTGCAGTAAAACCAAAGATCTGGAACCAAAGATATGCACAAATACTTGAGTGTATGTCTAGGTTATAAGTTAAAAAAATCACTAAAAAACAAATTACATATGATTCTTACATTCTTACACATGATTAAAAGCTACACTTATATATGTGTGTACATATATATATATATATAAGTTTTATTTATGAATCATGAACTTAAAGCTATGGCTTCGTCTGAGTCCATGTAAGGTAAAGCTCTCTGTCTTCAGCTCCTGGTTATGGGGTAAGAAATTCCTGTGAGTTGCAGGAGGGTAGAGGTGGGGGAGGGGAGCTGTTGTGCTTCCTGGTTCAGTTCTCCAGCTTTGTCTGATGTTTCTAAAATGCTGGAACAATAAGAGAGCAGCAGGAACCAATGTTCTCTATCCTTTCTGCTGAGGCTTTAAGGATATAATGAATCAAGGAGCCATCTAAAAGACCATCAACTATACACTGAATTAATTTTTTTCTTGGAAGCCTGGACATGAATTGACATTTCTTATTTGTTTAATGCCCTCTTGGATTGCCTACTACTGATAAGTTGTTTCTTAGACTATTTTAAGTTGTTTCTTAGATTATGTTGTATGCTCATCTTGACTTGTAAGACACAGAAGTCGGGAGAACTTAATGAAAAGACCCATTTTTAGGATCATTAATTGAAGAAAAATGCCTTAGACATTCCATGTTCTAACTTGACTATTATTCTGCAGTTAGTTCTGGCTAGTGATGTAGAAGAGAGTATATCAAATAACTATTGTGTTTAATTCTTACTAGTTGTTAATCAAAGAAAGATCTATAGCCCTTCCTTAACCTTGGACTCTATTACAATATTACTGTATTCAGTTACAAAAGTGGAAGCTTGCAAATGCAGGACGCAGAATGTTTAAAATAAATTTAAAACATGGATTGAATAGATGTCTGATTTAGATAAAAGTATAATAACTTAAAATTGATTTTTCAACTTGCAGTATGTATAGAAAATACGACTCAACCAGAATAAAGACTGAAGAAGAGGTCTTCTCAAGTAAGAGGTGCTTAGAGTGGTTCTATGAATATGCAGGTAGGTAATCACTCACATTCTGTAAGAATGATCCTTAGGAGAGATTAAAGAATTTTAAAATGTGTACTTTTCAGATTTAGTGCATCTGTGCCTTATGTGTTTGTGTCCCTGTTGGAGAGATGGGGAGCGGAAGGGAGGGACATAGTTGAAATGAATCTCTACATGTCCTATTTATAGCCAGCAGCTAAGCCAAAGAATTCAGAACACTAGAAGGGAACTGAAAAGATGAAATGCACTTGGGAGAAATGCTTTGGATTGCTAGGAAGCCTATTTAGAATGCTGATAATGGGTAATTATTTGGCCTAAGCACTGAAGTTAAAATAAGCTTTACTGCTTTAAGCTCTCATGTAGTATAATGGAATTGCTTATTTAAGAGTATTTTGAAAGGATCATTTGACAGAAAATGTTTGTTTTGTCTTTTAAAATGTCTTAAATTCAGTATCAATTTTGCAGTATATCTGTAGTTGTTTGAATAATACAATGCCTCACTCAAAGCCTTACTTGAGGCTGTGCATGGAATAAAGAGAAAGAAACATTTTCAGATCGAGTTTGAGCTTTTGGCTCTTTGACTTTTCTTATTTTTCTCTTCTTATTTCAGGCCCTTTCAACTGTTAAGTTGAAATCTGTCAACTTGACAGTTCCAACTACCTTTAAGCCAGTTTTTCTGTCATAGTCTGTAGACCCAGTTCCCAGGTATCTCTGGTCTTATTTTAAAAATGTAGGTAAAAGCTGGGTGCTGGTAGTTCACGCCTGTAATCCTAGCTACTTAGGAGGCTGAGATCTGAGGTTCATGGTTCAAAGCCAGCCCGCAGGAAAATCCGTGAGATTCTTATCTACAATTAACCACCAGAAAACTGGAAGTGATGCTATGGCTCAAGTGGTAGAGTGCTAGGCTTGAGCTAAAGAGCTTAGGGACAGCACCCAAGCCCAGACAGAGTTCAAGCCCCACGACCGACCAAAAAAAAAACCAAACCAAACCACAACATGTAAGCGGATGGTGCATATCATTCCCTAACAATATCCCTGGCTCCTGCTACTTACAGGATAAGGCAGATTGCTGATTGTCCCTTCATTACTATGCTCTTCACCACTTTTCCATTTGACAATAATTGTTTTGTTCTCACTGATTAGTTCTCACTGTTTAGTTCTCACTGATTAGTTGTTCATCATTGCAAAACCTGTATTAAAGTGCTTGACACTTAATTCTAATAAGGTATGACTGTATTTCTTCTGGCTGTATCTTTCACACTTTTAAATTAGCTTTGTAGCCTTTTTTGTACTCCCATAGAATTCTGTTCAAAACTTGTTTTCATCCCCTTTCATTGAGTATCAGAAGTTAAGATTTTTCCCCTGTGGCCTGGTTTCCCCATTCTCTGCCTCCTGGCACTCTACCCTTTTCTGATAAGAACTCTGCCCTTTTGTCACAGAGATTGGTCTGGGTAGTCAGATTTTCTGAGAGTTTCAGATTTAAGCTGGGAAAAAAGTTTTGTTTTGTTTTTGTTTTTTTTGTTTCCAGTGGTGGGCTTGAAACAATATAGTCCCGATTCCTTTGGTTTTCTTGGATTTTGGGGCTACTCATCATCTTCCTAGTAGATTCTTCTCATTAGTTTGATTAGTTTCAACTGAATTTTGTATAGATACGAGAACAAACACGTACATGGCATTTGCTGTGTTTCATGTTTACTTCATTAAAACATAAATCCCTTGAAGACATTTTGTAATCCTCATGAAAGTGGTTGATACATTGCCAAGGATTCAGGAATAGGTGCTGAATGAGTTTTCCCATATTCCTGTTAACTGATCATAGGAATCTTTTTCTTTCTTATATTAGTTTGTATTTATTTTTTTGATGCTGAATTATAAAAAGGAAAGTTTAAACAGAAAACCCAACCATCATAGCCCAGCTGTTTTGGTTTTGTGTTATGCAAATGTCAAGCTCTCTTTCCTTTAAAAAGAGAGCAAGGTAAAGTTGCCTTCTTGTTTGCTTTTCTTTGGTTTCAGAAAGGTGACACTTGGGGACTAAAAATGAAGCCATGTTATTTAGATTTCTTGGGGGTCCCTGCTGAGTGATTGTTTATCATTCTTTCCTGCAAGAAGTTTATGTGGTTGTCTCTTGTTTTTGTTCTCTAGTCCCCACTTTCCTGTCCTTTTCCTCCATTCTTTTCATGGCTTCAAATTGGGAATAGTAGAAAGCCCCAGTTGGCACTCATTTTTACTTTGAATATCCTAGCCACATGAATTGAAATTGTAGGTCAGAATTGTTCAAGAAAAACAATCTGAAAAGAACTGTAATAACCAATAAGGTGTGCCATTGGCTGCTTCTGTTGGGGAAAACCTGGAGGCTAGGCCTGCTGACCAGGCCCTAGGAGCAAGCCAATTGGTTGGGCTGAGGATAGACATTGATTTCATACATTTTCATCTGGAGTGAAGTTGGTGAGCAGTTGGGGGCCTTGTGTGCGATTGCTTCACTTAAATCAACCTTTACTTCTCTTATCTGTTCCTCATCCAACCTTTCCTACACATTGAGCCCAACTCCTCACAGCTTCTTACTGCTTAGCCAAAACCTTCCTTTGTACAGTGACCTCCTCACTTAAAAAAAAAAAATTCCTGTTAACACAATTGCTGATTTTTAGAAGTTTGATGAATAAACCATCTCTACTGGGGACCTCTTGTTCCTGTTTTTTTTTTCTTCCTGTTTTCTATGGTTCTAAGTTTATTCCCTTTTTAACTTCAATACTTCAACTCTCTGCGACTTGAGATGGAATGATGAGGATGGGAAATAGTGCATTTAACTTCCATCTGACACTGGAACTTAGTTGCTTTTCATTAGAATAAAAATGGCCAGTTTTACATAAATTATTATAAAATACCTTCTGCTTTTTGAAATATATCTAAGAAGAAGAAGAAAAGTCAAATTCATTAGTGCCAGTACTAATTTTGTAGTTATTCTAAAGGTCACATTTAGGGATGGTTGTGTTAATTCTGCAATCCCTGACTATATGTATAAGTCTTTAGTGTACTTTGGGTTAAGTTCATCGTAGAATTGTCTTTTGGTTTATGAAAGTGAAATTAGGGTCTAGGAATAGGTCCCAATGTCAGGCATGTTCAATTTCAAAAAATGCCAGAATTTTCTGATGGTGAAGGAAGGTACATTTAACAATGCCCACAGGCGGCTCTGGAATCCCATATGTAGCTTGATGTAATTATTAAAACTTGGTGTTTTGGGCCATTATGAAAAAATGAGAAGTGTTTGGTTAGACTAAGTATATACTTAAGGTAGCAGAAGAATGGGAGCATTGTTTTTATTTCCAGATTTTTGGGGTTTTGTTAGTACTTTTTTTCTTTTTTGCAAATTTGCTTTCTTGTCAATCAGGCCATTTCATAGCTCATTATTGCAACTATAACTTTTTAAAAAATCATTTATCTCAAACCGTGCTTTTCAAATTCAAGGCTAGTGACCAACTAAATCAGAGAGAGAAAGAGGAGAGAGACAGAGAGAGGAGAGACAGTTTTTTTTTACTTTATTTAATAAGTGTAGTATGTGCAGTACACACAGGAGGAGCACACACACATATGAGTATGTGTACTTTCAAGTCCAAAATTGCTAGTGTATGAAACAATAAACTGCTAAATGTCTTCCCATTTGGGTCATGAGTGAGTGAAGGGTGCCACTTTCACTGGTCTTTCTCTCTCTCTCTCTCTTTTTTTTGGTCGGTTGTGGGGCTTGAACTCTGGGCCTGGGCGCTTTCCCTCAGCTCTTCAGCTCAAGGTGAGCACTCTACCACTTGAGCTACAGTGCCACTTCCAGTTTTCTGAGTGGTTTATTGGAGATAAGAATCACAGGCTGGGAAGGTGGCCCAGTGGTAGAGCACTTGCCTTGCATGTTGAGGCCCTGGGTTCGATTCCTCAGCACCACATAAGAAAATAGAAAAAAAAGCCGGAAGTGGCACTGTGGCTCAAGTGGTAGAGCACTAGCCTTGAGCTGAAGAGCTGAGGGACAGCGCTCAGGCCCAGAGTTCAGGCCCATGACTGGACCAAAAAAAAAAAAAAAAAAGAGTCTCAAGGCCTTTCCTGCCTGGGCTGGATTTGAACCATGATCCTCAGATCTCAGCCTCCTGAGTGGCTAGGATTTGAGCCACCGGTGCCTGGCACTGGTCTCTCTTAAAAAAAAAAAATTGTAGAAGTTACTAGCCAGTGCGTCTAGAGAGGAAAAAGAAACAAGAGGCATAAATACTGGAAAGCAGGAGGCAAAAATGATCATCTATTGAAGATGAAATGATTGTTATTTTATTTCTGGAAAGCTAAAGAGAAATGCTTGGGTGAACTTAGGAACATTAAGTCAGTATGGGAGAGGAGTACTTAAAGAACCTTTCACAAGCACTTGACTCTGGAATGTAGAGAATAGGTACAGAGGAAGCTTGACTTTTTAAAAACATTTTATTTTTACTTTTAAGTGAAATTTTGTACCATATTCATGTACAAAAATACACCTGAATTAAATAAGCTTTTATTTGATTTTTTTCCCCTGTTGGACAAGACAGTGAAATTAGAGATATGTATTTTTTAATGGAAAAAAAGAAACAGGTAACAGTTGAAAATATGGTACACTTTTTTTTTTGTTGTTGTTACAAAATAGCACATTGTGATTAGAAGGAAAATAAATGGCTAGAGAAAAAAGCATTTGCTTTGACCAGATCATGTGGAAGCCCTGAGTTTGGGCTTTATCACTCAGCAAGAACAGAATTGAAACCTAGAAGTGACCCAAAGCTTTCCCGGCCAGAGCTCCAGGTGATTTTCATGTTCATTCTCTACTGAGAAGAACCACCCCATGCTTTTATAGTGGTCTCACTATCATTTTGTATTATAGTTACTCCCATATTTTACCTCTTATATACAGGGCAGGGCCTGAGTTTTCTCCTTTGTATGTACCCTAAGCACTATGACAGTGCATACTCCAGGATGTTTCTCACAAATATTACTGATGTGGAACTGAGATGTAGGAAGATAGGGAGAGTTTGCTAGACTTGGTATCTTCTTGGATGTGGAGGCAAAATGAGAAATGTCGAGTGATTTATGTATTTTGTTTCATCCATTCAGTAAACATGCCAGGTGGTATGCTGAGGTGGTAAAAAGGATAAAACAGCTCTTGCTTTTGAGGAGCTCTCAGAGAGAACCAGATAGGCTGGCACTTGAGAATGTAGTGTGCATGGGAGAAAACCATTCCCAGCATGGGTTACAGAGACTGCCTGACCTGGTCTCACAGGTGGGAGATTGGGACCACTGTCTGGTTCTAGCCTTAAGAAGATGGGAGGAATAAGGAACGAGTCGACAGGAAGATTGGTTGAGGCACACAATGTGGTATGGTGGTGGTTGGGTGCGATTTAGAGAAACACTAGATCAGTAGGTATTTCTGGATCTTAATTTCTGTTCATTCAGTAATAGTTATTGAGTAGCATATTTCTGAGAGGCTTGCTTTGCAGGTGGGAAAGCAGTAGCTTAGTCTTATTTGACATACTAAACACTTGGACTTTAGGGGCAGTGGGGAGCTACTAGAAAACTTTTAAGCCAGCATGGGAGTTGTGTTTGAGATGGAGCCCTTAGTAGTTATGTCCATGATAAATCAGGAAATCTAAGAGAATAAAGCCCCTACTAGGACTGTACAGGAGGGTTGGCATTAACTAATACTGAGAAGGAAAATCAGGATACTATTGATAGTTGATTGGTGGTGGAGAGAGAGTAAAGGGAGGATGGTTCTCAGGTTTCTATTCCTGGTGGTACCCCAGTGGAGACAGAACACATAAAAAGTAGGTTTGGCACAGAGAGTTAGTAGCTCTGTTTCTGAGAGGTGGTATTATGAGAAAACAGTATGAGTAGGTTAGGGGTAGAAGATTAGCCTAGTTATGGTAAACAGGAGGTGGAGTAGGATAGGCACGTTAATATGGCAGACAGACCAAAAGTAAGGAAGATAGTAGGCTAGAAATAGCTGAGTAGTATCTGAAATTTCCTGAGAGTTCATAATAACCTGAAAGAGCTTTGATAGTGGAACTCTGTACATCTACCTTAACATATTTGTAGAAGCAAGAACCCATAGAGACCCCAGAAGAGGAGAGGAAGTAGAAAAAACAGACAATGAGCTGCTTCTGGAAGCCATAGGAGGACACAGTTTTGTGATTAAAAAAGAACTACTTCAAATTTGAGAGATCACAAAGAGGCCACACTAACTAAAGATGGAAGTGTCTACATTGCTACAAGAGTTTTAATGGAAAAATAGAAGTAGGAAAAAGCAAATTATAGTAGAATGGATAAAATAAATATGGAGCAAAGATAATACTAAAAAGGAAAATGATTCTATTCCCTACATCAATACCTATCCCATCGTATTTGTTAAGCATTGGCTTCCAGAACCCCTGGGTGTACCAAAATTCATAATGCTCACGTCTCATATAGAATGGTAAAGTATTTGCAATATAGTCTAAGTAAATCCTGTAGTATACTTTAAATCACCTCTAGATTATTTATATTTAATATAATATATGTAGGCACAGGTTTTATGGAGATTTTTTTCCCTAAACAGTTTTGATCCTCAATTGGTTGAATTCACAGATGTGGAACCAAGAAATACAGAGGACCAACTAACTATATTATACTTGATTATTTTTCCCCTATGTGAAAGAAGAATTTGTATTACTTTCCAATTAATTTTATAGAGACTAACATGTGATTCTTTGTTACGTTTCTAAAATCTGTTGATGTAAATGTAAAATATATTGAAATTGTTAGCACAATAAGAGTAAACTTTCTTTTAAGATACTTTAAAGAACAGGAATTAAACTTAAGTGGCCTTATCTTTAAATATAAATAACATATACCATATTCCACAAGTTAAAGGACATAGTGGTAAACTGACTTAAAGATAGTAAACAATAGAATTCTCTAAAAATTTAACTGAAATTCCTCAACATGTTTCAATTTATACTTAGTTTTCCTTCCAAAAGGGGGTTAAAGCCCTGGTCTAACTTGCTGAGCATGTAATACTGCTACAGGAATTGGTCAGAATTAACTTAAAAGACTGTACTGCATCACAGGTACCGATGATATTGTGGGTCCTGAAGGCATGGAGAAATTTTGTGAAGATATTGGTGTTGAACCAGAAAATGTAAGTCTACCTTAATTTAGTAATGTAAATCAGTTACTTTTCTTACTTAAATGTTTTGGTCCTTTTCAAAGGGAGCAATAATAAAGTTAACTATGCTGTATTTTATGAGACCACCTAACAAGTTCTAATTCTAGTTTGCTTTGTAAGCTTTGCAAGTGGCATGGTGTAACTCTAGTCTCCCCTCCCCACTGGCTTGATTTCTTATGTCTAAAAGATGTAGTGATGGAGTGATGTTTAAAAAGCAATGTGGCCATCTATAGTGACAGATCAGCTAAGGTACTGAGTCCCTGCATGCTGTGTACCTTTGTGCCCCACAGTAGTCAATAACTATTCATAAAGGCTTTGAGTAGGTTGTGATTATCATAAATTTTCCCCAGATCGTTCACTTCCAGTTGAGCTTAACTCAGAATGTCTTTGCTTTTCAATATAAAAATTTTAAAATTTTTATCACTTTATGTAATTATTTCTGCATAATTCTTAGCTTCATGCTATTGTTGCATATGTTTTCTTTTTCCCACCTCTTACACTAAAACGAAAAATTATACTTCTATGCTTCTACACATGCCTTTGTACGTATATGATTTAATTTAATTTTACACCTTCCAGTTTAACAAATGTAGATCCTAAATGAATTTGTGATCTGCAAGAGATCTTGTGAGATTCCTGAGACATTTAGTGCCTATGGTATGTATCTTGCTTTTAAAGAAAACTGGGAAATTAGACTGTATAATTTTAACTTTTTTGTTGTTTGGTTTTGTTTTCTGGTGGTTTGTTGGAGTCTCACAGACTTTCCTGCCTGGGCTGGCTTTGAACTGTGATCCAAAGATCTCAGCCTCCTGAGATCTAGGAGGCTAGCCAGGATTACAGCCATGAGCCAGTGGTGTCTGGCTTAACGCTTTTTACCCTAAACTTTTCTGTGCCTTTGTTGTCTTTATCTCACCCCCAAAGTCATAATTTTTGTGAAGTGCCTTTAAAATGTCTTTTACTTACTATTTGGATTACTTTTTTTTTTTTTTTGCGGAACTGGGGGTTGAACTCAAGGCCTTTCACTTACAAGCTGGTGCTTTACCACTTGAGCCACACTCCTACTTCTTTATGTTGTTATTTTTTCTTGGATAGGTTTTTATATTTATGCCTGGGTCAGTCTGGATCTCCACCATCCTCCTCTTTATAATTCCTCCATAGCTGGGATGATGTGCATGTGCCATTACATCCAGATTCTTTTTGGTTGAGATAGGCCTTCGTTCCCTGGGCTGGCTTTGAGCCATGGTCCTTATGATCTCATTCACTTGAGTAGCTGGGGTTACAGTACCTGAGCCATTGCATCTAACCCAGCTCATGTATTTTGATAAATTACTCACTTTAATATAAAGGTTTGGGCCAGTCAAGTCAATAGGATTTCACCTGATCCTAGTCCATGAACAGGAAAAGGATATTTCATTGACTTTCAGAAGGCAGTTTTCTCCTGGGAGCTGGGACAAGGTTGGTAGTGTTTTCTAGCAGTGCTGTTAGAGTGGCAGTGTGTTGTTCCTAGTGGGGTTTAGAGCATCCTCTCAGAGGACAGCAGTGGTATATTATGAGAGGAATAGGCATCAGGACCCAGACGCAAAGTCTGATGAGCTTGGTAGGAGGCTGGAGGAATGCCAGGGATTTGCTTCTAACTGAAAAAGGAAGGCCTAGCTGTGCAAAGTTTGCATCCCTAATAACAGTGGTCAATAAAGTACAGCTATTATTAACATCCTTTTCAGGCAGTTAAGACTGCTTCCTCCCTTCCCTTTCTTCCCCTCTCCTGACCTCCCCTCCCTCTTTTCCTCCCTCCTTTTCTTTCTCTGTCTCTGTCTCTGTCTCTCTCTCTCTCTCTCTTTCTTTCTTTCTTTCATTTGCCAATCCTAGGGCTGGAACTCAGGGCCTGGGCACTGTCTCTGAGCTTCTTTTGCTCAAGACTAGCATTCTACCACTTGAGCCACAGTGCCAATTCTAGCTTTTTCTGTTTATGTGGTACTGAGGAATCGAACCCAGGGCTTCATGCATGCTAGGCAAGCACTCTAGCACTAGGCCACATTTCTAGCCATTAAGATTCCTGTAAAACTCTTATTTTTCTGAGTAGAAATAGAAGAAATAGAAAATTACGTTGAAGGCTAAAAGACCAAATTAAAAATGTTGTTCCAAGTATGGATTATTGTACTTCAATTCCAAGATGATTTCAATAGACATTATATTTTATATTGTCCCTACGAGAGAGTATTGCTAAATAAACTCTGATATGCTGTCAATCAGTTTTACCACTTGACAAACAAATGGTAAAATGAACTATTTCCAAAGAGTGTTGCTGTAATGAGCAAGAATGTAAGACTCTTGCTTTCCCTGATAGTTACAGTTTTTATGAAATGTAAGAAGACCTCTAGAATTCAACTCATTTCCTTTGCTAACATAAGGGATTACAAAAAAAAAAAAAAGTTCGTTTTGTTTTGTTTTGTTTTTGTTTTGCCAGTCCTGGGGCTTGAACTCTAGGCTTGCGCATTCTACTGAGCTGCTTTTGCTCAAGGTGAGCACTCTACCCCTTGAGCCACAGCACCATTTCTAGCTTTTTTGAGTAGCTTATTGGAGATAAAAGTCTCATGGAGTTTCTTGCTCTGGCTAGCTTTGAACCACAGCCCTCAGATCTCAGTTTCCTAAGTAGCTATTATTAGAGGGATGAGCCAACTGGTACCCAGCAGAAAACTATTGAAGGTCTTAGCTTCCTTATTTAACCCAAGAAAGTTTTTATTTTGTGTGAAGATTGCTTTGATTATTAGCTGCTGTCCTGTATAGTGTATGTGTGTGTTACAGGTTATGTTCTCATCTTAAAAAAAAATCTTTTTATGTATAGGTTTCAGTCTTTCTAGTGGAGGCTGAATAGAGTTAGAACTATTAAGTTAATCAACATACATGGTTCATGTAAGAAAATGTGGGTTGGTTCACCTAAATAAATTGATGTGCAGGAGTCAATTCCCCGAAAGCTGAGGGCTGAGGAGAAAATCCACTACTATGTGAATAGGCTGACGAACATAGAATACCTTTTTGGGAAAATTCTTCAGTTGTCCAATTGGTTCTAAATGATCATTTTTAAATTTTATTTAGTAATCATATTTAACCCCTTTAACAGTATGACTAGTCAGAGTAATCTATATAGTAATGTAGTTTTAAATTTAAAAACTCTAATGACCTTCAAAAATCTTTTTTAAATAAAAAAATACTTTAGCTTGTAATTGGTTACCATATTTTCAAACTTTTTCAGTGTTTGCCAAACTAGAGCTAACTATTGAAGACCTCTGTTCATATTTTAGTGCCTAAATGACTGGCAACAGAAGCATTTGGCAAGATATTGATGTCTTTAATTGTAGGGAATTTGATTTGTGATTTTTTTAACAGGTAGTTATGCTTGTCCTTGCTTGGAAATTGGATGCACAAAACATGGGCTACTTTACGCTACAGGAATGGCTGAAAGGAATGACTTCTCTACAGTAAGTCCTAGGGTGGGGTGGGGCTGCCCCTCTTCTGGGACCTTAGGAAGTGGTTGAGTTATGATCTGGGCAAGCTTCTCTGGGCCACCCATTTTGTTATGGATGAATTTGGCACTTCAGGTTGAGAGAGAGTGAAGGGGAGGGGGAGAGGGGAGCAGGAGAAGAGAGCAGGAGAAGAGAGAGGGAGTTAGGATACTTTTTAGCAGATCTATATGTAAAAATAGGCTAACCATTTATCATAGATGTAAACCCCCCCATGTGTAACGTAATATAAAATTTCCTAATAGTTACATTAAAAAGGTAGAAAGAAACAAGGAAAATTAATTTTAATATATTTCTTTAATTCTTGATATCTAAAATATTACTATGCTAAACATGCAGTAGCTTTAAAAATCAATATGCAATTTTACATTCTCTTTTTTAATAGTACATCTTCACATTCTGTTTTTTTTGTTGCACCCATATGGTCTTTTTGGTTGATTCATTTATCCTTGTTGGACCACTTGGTCCAGGAAAAGAAAAAAAATAGTGGTTTTATGCATTCATGTGATACCTGTGGGTGCATTTGCTAAGAGTTCTAGTCACAGAAACGATATTCTGCTACATTATGTCTTGAAGGGTACAGTTGATGTGGGTGCCTAAGCAGTTCAGATGAAGCCTATTCTTAAATACAATAACTTGGATCTAAAGCATTTGAAAGCACTATTATTTTTTCTTCACTTCAAGAGTAACACCATAAATTTTATTGAATTATAGTTAAAATTGAAATGGTTCTATAATTGTATTTAAATAATTTTGGAACTTGCCCGCTTTTTTAAATACCTTTGTCCATTTGTTGGTGTCACTAATTGCCTTGTGCTGTCATGGTGATGGCAGGTGAATTCTCACAGGTGGCTGCCACATAGTTCTTGAAATTCAAATGATAAGCCTACTCTACTATAAAGGTGTGGAGGAATATGCTTTCTTTTTATGATGTGCAATGCTGAGACTTTAGTTTTCTTATCAGTGAAGTAGAGATGATCCTTAAGAATAACCTTTAAAGTTCTTTATAGGTCAAAGATGGTCCAACCTCAAGTTTTAGGAACCTTCCTCTGGCCTCCATAGATTGGTTTTTTATTCAGCAAATACTTTAATGACAGTGCCATGCCAAGATGCTGTATTCTGTTCTAGAACTTGGAGCAGAAAAACCCCCTAAGAAGACAAAATCTGATATGAGAATAGAGGTTTAGGAACTTTCAGGTAAAAGATCCAAAAGTAATATGGTCACTTTTCTTTAAATTGAATCAAATAAATAAATCCTATATTTGTAAGGAATATCTAATATAGAAGAAGCTTGGGGAAAAGTTGTTTAGATGCACTCAAATGGGTGAGTATATATTTTTAATAACCTCTTCTGTCTTTTTTTCACCTTTTGCTCATTTTCATTTTATTAAATCTATTCCATGAAATATTTTGGACTCAAGCTGATGTTAATGTGTATATGATAAAACCTCCATTTATTTACACTAGTAAATGTCTTAGTCCATCAAAGCACCATAGACTCTGGTTTATAAAGAATAGAAGTTTACTTCTTACATCACTGAAGCTCAAATCCTAGATCAAGATACCAGCAGTTTTGGTGTCTGGTGAGGGCTTGCCTGCTTCATAGGGTAATGCCTTCTGCATGTGTCTTCACACCATCGAGAGGACAAACAAGTGCCGTCAGCCTCTTTCATAAGGGCACTAATCTCACTAGTTAGCTTTGTAGGGCTCCATCTCTTAATTCTATTCCCTTAGCGGTTAGGATTTCAACATATGAATATCAATGGGGAAGGACACAATAAAGATTCTAGCTGTTGCTGTACATTTGGTTAAAATGGTAGGTTTTGTTAAAAAGATTGCTGCTGTAAAGTGGGAATGAGCCCTTGTGTTTTAGAATCGATTCTGAATCTGTTTTATTGCTTCTTCTCCAAACCAGGACCTAGAACTGTAGTCATCTTTGTATAATACTAGTGAGGGCTGCAAAAATAGCTTTGGGCTTAAGTGAAGGAGCACAGGTCCTTGTCGGGATAGTATGGAAAGCTACCTCTGACCTTACAGTATCTGAGGATTATCCTGCTGTTTTTCTTTCTACTTGACCTTTACAGCAGAGACACTTAAACAGGAAGTGACTCCACATGGGAAACTGTGGCTCTGTCATTCCTTGACTTCTGTGACTATTATGCCTCATGAGACATAAAAGAACTTGGGGAAATGGCTGAAAATGCAGCTACTTTCTAGAAAATCTTCAATTGTGGCTTAACCTCCTGAAGCCTGCTGCTTTACTGGCTTTTTCTGAAACTGCTGCCCTCTGAATGTCCTTGTTGAGTGGCCACTAGGCAGTAAGCTCTAAGTTGTAGGCAGGTGATTTGTCATAGCTATGCTATAGGATGAAGCCCTTTGAAATTGGATCAAACTCTCTATTGATAATATTTGCCCTACTGGGTACTTGAAATGAAACTATTGCTTTGGACCTTTTATATTTAAAGCATGAGACCTCTTCTCCCACATTTGGGACAAGAGCTCTGAATGTCTTTCAAGAATAGGAATAAAGTTTAAGAAAGATCTTGAGGTGAGGAAAATCTCAGAGAAAAACTTCTCTACTGAATTCCTCAGTTACCCTCAGACCCATAGATTCTTAATCCATGATGAGAAAAATTTCAAGGAAATTCACAAAGTAAGCAGCCAACAAAGATATATTTAGCAAAACAAGAAAAAGGGAGAAATAGAAAAAGGAAAAAGAAGCAGGCTCTGGCGCCCTCTGACATAGAGATGGTCAGAATGAGGGAGACTCAAGTGGAAGTTCTCTGTCAGTATTTAAGCCTGCTGAACTAGGGAATTCCAGTTTGAACTTTCACCTACATATGTGCTAATCCGTAATTTAGCATTTTACTAAGTTTGGTGGTTTGGTGTTACCACTCAAACATGGAGAACATGGGTCTAGGTATGTGCACAACCAAACGATGTTGGACCTGGGTATCTTGCTTCTTGTGATGTTTGAACATTGCTTTCTGGTCAAAAAAATCACCTTCTATTTTTGGACCAAATTCCTTACCATGGGGAGTTATATATCTCATTTAACATCTAAAGGAAGGGAGCATAATGGAAAGAATGCAGGAGTCTGCATTCTTGAATAGTTGGTTCATTTCCTTGCTGCTGTAGTGATTTTTCAGCCATGTAGTTATAGGTGGTCTTAGTTCTTTTATAACACTTTAAAATTTGGTGTGATTTTCGTGTGTCACCTGTAGCATCCTTTGCTTTACATTGTAGGGTTCTTCCAGGTGTGGTAGAGAACTTCATGTCTCCCTTGCTGCTCTGTGGGAGACTTTGCTTTTGTTTTCTTTTAGGCAGGAGTACTTATCTCCATGAGAGGTTCCTGTGCCCAAACCCATGGAAACAAGCAATTGCTTTTCTTCCTCTCTCTCATTGCACATAGCCCCAGTCTAGCTAGTTCCTGGTGGCTTTGGTAATTGACCTTTCTTCTCATTGGAGACCAGGGATGTGGGCTTTACATGGTTTTGGAGTGGTTGGTTTTCTTCTCTTTGACTTTTCTTTGGGCCTGCCATGCTGTCCTGCCATGGGGCCTTTGCCCAGCCTGTCCATACATATGGAGAGCCCCTCTCCCTCCTCAAAGACATTTCTCTAGTCCAGTTCAACTGTTAGTTAACATGGCAATCCCCTGAAGAAGCATTTTCTAACTTCTAAAATAGTCCTATTTTAATCTGTTGGATCAATCTATTTGATTCCAATGTCAGGAAGAAATAAAGGGTATTCTCATTTACTTTGCCATAAAAATTAAGCATTTACTCCTAATTTTTGGCTTTCAGGTGACTGTTGTCATAGAACATTATTATTTATAGTTTACCAAAAAAAGCATTTTTGCAAATTTGTTAGAAATAAATCAGTATGCTCTTAATGATCTGTATTTTGATTCATATAGTAGGCAAACTTTATTTTGGCAATAACTTATTTAATATATTACCTATTTTTAGAAGATGTAGCTAGGAGCTCTACAGAGAAACACAAGGAACTTTAGTACTGAAAAGATACAGTAATGCTGTGGAAAACAGCTCTGGGTTCTCATTTTTAAGGGCTATATCTTTTGAACAGAAAATTAATTTGTAAAAATAACCAATTAGTCTACTTCTTATGAAAAGTCAACAGGGTCACTTACTGGTAAAAATAGGTTATCATCACCAAGGCTTCCTGAGAAGTGTCTGGTTTCAGGTGAGGCAGAGTAGCAGCATCCAGTGCCAGAAAGCAAAAAAGGGCTCAGAGAGCAGAGGAGACATGCCACAAGACATTGGAGCCGCGGCCCAAATTGGGACAGTTTGTGCATTTAAAAGAATAAAGACAGTAATGGATTATAGCACTGAATGCAAAGCACAAAGAAAGGACCCTAAACCCAGAAAATAAGGCTAGTGTACAGATCCCTTCTTAGTAGATGTAGACAGTAATGGTGGAAGGAATGATGTTTTGTACTTGCAGAGGTAATGGGTTGATTTAGGCAGGAATTGTCTATGGATGCTAAAACCATCCCATGTTATAAATGGGTCATTCTGCACTCTACCAAAGTTGCCCCAGGAGAGGCACATGGCTGGGCACAGGGGCCATGTGGGAGATGCCATTAAGAGTGGCTAGGACCCATGATCAGAGCCTTCATTGAGGGTCAGTGGGGGAACACAAGCAAATAGCACAACGGTATTTCATTGGTGCATTTGAATGTCACTGGGTCACAGCCTTTTCAGATTGGCACACTAGTCTCTGGTTTGCTCAGCCTATTTGTGAGGGTGTTGAGGCATCAGGAAAATAGCGTTAAAATCATTTATAACATTGAGCAAAATATTGTCAAGGAAGAGTTTCAACCTGTTCACCCACAGGCTAGTTGCTATTTTGAAAGGAGGAAAACCCACTTTAGACTTAGAAATTAATTTTTAGCAATAATGGGACAGACTGGTGAGATAAGCCTCCTTCTGAGATGCCCTTGGAAGAATACACTTTCTATCAGAAGTTTCTATCAATGGTGTTAAACCTACATAGAGTCATGGGAAATTACCTGAAAAATTGATATGCTCCAAAAACAGTTGGTCTGGTCTCTTCAAATGTGACAGTGGTTATAAAGGAAATTTGGAGAATGATAGAGACCTGTGCATGTGAACTATATATTAACTTAAAATATTGTTAGGAAGGGAGTGGTAACAGTATCGAAGTATTTATGGGTGAATTAAGGGCAGGTATGTGAGGGAGTGCGTCGTGTGAAGTGTTCATTGCTGAAGGAAGGGGTAGGTAAACGAGAGCCTATGTGCTCTTCTTTCAACTTCTCTGGACATTTCAGAATTTATGAATAAGTATAGAAAATAATGGTCATGATGGCTATTTCCCAACTAAAGGGTTTTTATTCTTTACTTTGGTGTGAGTTTTATATTACTGCCCCAACGTAAAAAAAAGAACGATGACTCCATATTGTAATTTCCTTTATTTTGTTTTCCCAGATGTGATACAACAGAAAAACTCAGAAATACTTTGGATTACTTAAGATCATTATTAAATGATTCTACAAACTTTAAGCTTATTTACAGATATGCGTTTGACTTTGCACGGGTGAGTTTTCTGGAATCTATCCAGATGTTTCCCTCTCTTGCCTCCCTCCCCCCCCGTCTTTTTATTGCATTTTCGAGGTTTGTTTTTACATACACAAATAACTCAAAAAGTACTCCTATGGTGTTAGTATTTCTATATGTATTAATTTCAAAACTAACTGACTGGTTCTGGGCAAAAATTCTATATGTTAGCAAAAGACTATAGTAGCAGACATTTATTAGCATTTATGATTAGCTTAGAAGTAATATGTAGGTGTGTAATGAATACAGTTTTAAATGATTCTTAGATAATTAGGGAAGCTTTTCCTTCTCACAGAACAACAAATGTTTACCCTCTGAGGTACTTGAATAAGCTACATCCATATTTAATCCAGTTTTACTTTGGGTGCTGTTAATATATTTGGAAGCCATGTGGCTTTCACATCTAAGCTGATTTCCTGTTTGTTGCATAGTGAGTCAAGCCCAAGCATGTGACAGTGGTTCTTTGGGGTCTGTAGGGTGGGGTGGGAAATAAAGCCTGGTTACCACAAATGGTGGACTCCAAGGTTCCAGTTGACAATGTAGCCTTGTGTTCATTCAGACATGATCCACAGGCCTTATGGTTACCCTTTATTACACAATGTGTTTTTGTCATGTCTCTGTGTGTAGTGGATTCAAATGACTTAGGCTTTCTTAGTTGGTTTCATTTTTTAAGGATTTGTTTTTTTAAAAATCAGGGATTTGGTGAAAAATGATTATTTCTTCCTTACCACCATGCTGAACTTTTTTTCACTTTTTTACTTTTTTTTAGCCTCTAGTTCTGCCAAGTTAGTGTGGTGTAAATCCTGATGTATCTGCAACAACACATTAGGCGTTCTCCTGTCGTGCCCTTATTTGTGCATCTTTTCATTGTGACAACCTCTAGTAAAATCCTAGCGTGTGTGGCAATGTAGTGAATCATGATAGTGCATATCTGTAAGGCCATAACTCAGAAGGCTAAGGCAGAAGGATTTTGAGCAGAAGCCAGCCTGGGCTACATGGTGAGACTCTTATCTCCAAAAACAAAATGAAGGTGAAATTCTGATAAAGTGTTTGCCTAATTGCCTATATATTTGTGATAAAGGAATTAAATGACAAAAGGGTGCTTCTGTTAGTTTATTACATGAAATTTTTCCCTCTAAGTCATACTTGCTAAGTCATATAGTATGAACAAAAGTCCCTTTAGAAACATCATAGCTTATACATGAAAATAGCTCTTTCCTGACTTCCTTGGTCAGTGTCAGAATTGTCCCAAAGTCGTCCTCTATAATTT